GACGCTACTGACTCGATGGCACCTAGCAACAACAACTCTTCAAATGCTTCAAGATCATTGTCTTAGCTATCATTGTTGCTGTTCTTAGGTGCCATCAAATGGGTTTCAATTCATAACAACCCTCAGTACATCAGAACAAAACCCTGCCCAGTCCTGCACCATCCTCACAACTGTTATATGTGAGTTCATTGTTACCCCCACTATGTCAATCCATCTTGTTGAGGGTCTTCTCTTTGGCTGACCCTTTACTTTTCCAAGCATGATGTCCTTCTCTAGTTATTGGTCCCTTCTGATAATGTGTCCAAAGTACAAGAGATGAATTATCATCATCCAGGCTTCTAAAGAGTATTCTGGCTGTACTTCTAAGACAGATTTGTTTGTTGCTCTTGCAGTCCATGGTACTTTCAATATTCTTCTCCTACACCATAATCCATATGCATTGATTTTTCTATGGTCCTTCTTATTTGTTGTCCAACTTTCACATGCACACAAAGCAATTGAAAATTCTATGGCTTGGGTTAGATGCACCTTAGTCCTCAAACTGACATCTTTGCTCTTGAACACTTTTAAAGAGGTCTTCTGCAGTAGATTTGTTTAATGAATTATGTCATTTGATTTATTGATTGCTGCTTCCATGAACATGGAACTACACAAATTAAAGTCTTTGACAACTTCAGCCTCTTCTCCATTTATCATGATGTTATTTTTTATACAGTTGTGAGGATTTTCATTTTCTTTACAATGAGTTGCAACTCATACTGCAGGCAAAAGTCTTTGACTTACATCAGTAAGTATTTCAAGTCCTCTTCACTTTCAGCAAGCAAAGTTGTCATCTGCATATCGCAGGTTGTTTAGACTCTTCCTCAAATTCTGATGCCATAGTCTTAGTATCTAGAGTGCCTGTAACAGAAATACTACGAGTGGATGTCTTTAAAAAACAGAAATTTATTCTCTCATAGCTTGTTGTTGCTCTTGTTTAGTGCTATCAAGTTGATTCCAACTCATAGTATCCATATAGTGTTTCCAAGGTGGTAAATCATTGTGCAGCAGGAAGCCTCACCTTTCTCCCATGGAGTGACTGGTGGGTTTGAGCTGCCAACCTTGTGGTTCGCAATCCAGTGCTATCCTTCAGAGCTCTATGCTCCCTCACACGGTTTAGGTGGCTAGAAATTCATATTCAGAGTGTCCGCTCTGGGGAAAGGTCCTTGTCTCCTATTAGTAGCTGTAGGTCCAGCATTTCTTGGATATCTCCATATGTCTTCATATCAATCTTTCCCTGGATCTAGCAGCTTCACAGTACATGGACCCCAGGTCAAAAGAATGCACTTCACTCCTGGCTCTTCTTTCTTGGTGGTAGTAGGTCCCTCTGATGTGCGCTCACTTCTTTCTCCTTTTATCTAAGTAACAATTAGTATGTTATTGTTGTTAAATGACACCAAGTCAGTTCCAACTCATAGTGACCCTGTATAAGGTTTCTGAGGAGTGGCTGGTGTGTTTAAACCTCCGACTTTATGACTCATATTGACCTTGGGGTCCAGTGTTGATCCTACAATGCCACACCAGGACTCCCACAATAAGTATAGGTATTGGTATTTATAAAAGGTGGATTATTTCCATATCTTTATATGTTCACTCCTGGTGTGACACTGTAGGATAAGCACTGGATTGTGAACCTCAGGTTAGTAGTTCAAACCTACCAGCTGCTCCTCAGAAACCCTATACAGGGTCACTAGGAGTCAGAATGGACTCAACGACATTTAACAACAACAACAGTGTTCACAGGTATAGAAATACGTGTAGTATATTGCTCACCAAAATGTAACAGGGGTTTTCGGGGATGTCATTATGTGGGAATTATTTTATTTATGAATTTTCAAAATTTTCTAAGGTTTTAGAAAGTATCAGTCCAATAATCAGAAAAATAAAGCTCTGAAAAAGTAAAATAACAGTGGTCAATATTTCAGTTACTACACATGTTAGGGAGAAAATTTAAGCAACCCAAAGAGATTAAAGAGAATTTTTCAGTAGCGATGACCATTATTCTTAATAACCATAAACTAAATTTTTTAATTCAGACAGATTCAATTTCTGTATGTATCCTCTTTGCTCTCAAACTCAGTGGGTTATAACCTATATGTAGGATTGAAACAAATGTTTTTAGCCCAAAATAGATAAGGTTAAAAACTCATCAAAAGTAATGACTCTCAAAAGACACCAGGAACCCAAAACAAGTAAGACAAAGAAAGATGTATGAAATCAATTTAGCTTTTAGGAAAAAGAAACCAAATTACTACAAAAATACCAGCTCCAAAAATAGCAAAAGAACTTCAACAGGAGAAAAGTGAGAGCAAAAGATTTGCTTATGGATGTCAAAAATCCAGGATCAAAGAGGGCTTGAAAACTAGTAGTGCATCTCCAAATATATATATTTGAGATCAGTGTGACAGACATTTATTTCCATCAGCCATGGGATGCTATTTTAATGTCCTCAAAGTCTCCTTTCAGTGACTTCCTGATAATACAGGGGACTTCAAAAATTCTTGGAAAAATTCCATTATCTTTTAGTTTCATTTTCCACACACTTTTTGAAACTCCCTTGCATAGCTGCAATGCGAGATTTTTTTAAATTCATTTAATCATTGAACATACAATTTCTGACCCAGAAAAGAGAGAGCTATAAGCAACCATTTTACCATTTCACATCTAAGGCCATTTTTAATGCATACTTGTCTTTTTTTCTTCCCTCCAGGAAAAGCACAAAGAAAAAACTACAACAATGGCCAAGTTGACAGAATCCATGAGTGAGTAACTTGAAATTTATTCTTTAATGTTGGTTTTGAATGGAAAAAACAGAAAAATCATGCGAAAATCAGTTCTCTTATTTATGATTAAATTATTTGAACTTCTCTTTCCCTCTTGCAATTATTCAGGCCTATTTAGTATGCATTGCATCATATCAATGTTCATGACACCTGTTCTTCATTTATTGACAATTTTATTATCTGACATTCTACATTTATGACAACAGTAAAAATCTACCATCAGACTATTTTGCTCATTAGCAATATACTTCTGGGAGTAACAAACACTGAAGTGTGAGGGAAGAGTCATGCTGAGTATGATAATGTGTCAACTTGGCTAGGTCATGATTCTTAGTGGTTTGGCAGTTATGTAATGATGCAATTTAACAGTTACATAATGATACAATTTGGCAGTTATTAGTGATGCAGCTTGACAGTTATGTAATGATACCGTTTGGCAATTATGTAGTGATACAGTTTGGCAGTTATGTAATGATGCAATGTGTCAATTATACAATGATGCAATTTAGCAGTTATGTAATGATATAATCTGACAGTTGTGCAACAATATAGTTATCCTCTGTTTTGTGATCTGATGTAGTCATCTCCAATTTTCCCATAATGCTGATTTTCACTTACTGGCCTAATCTTTGGATGCCAGGGCTTCGGACTTGTTCCATCTGAGGTGGAAATGCAAATTCTCAGTAGGGGGTGGAATCAGAATGAACCAGTTTGAAGCCCTATTGGAAACTAACCATGATAATAAATGAGTGGATACATTCACAATTTACCTGTGTGGGTGAAAATTCTGTGCTGAAATTGTTTCACAAAGTGTAGATTTGAAGAATCTAAATGAATTCTATATGAAGCAATGAAGTAGGGATCAGGACCCACAATTATCTCAACCTGACTTTTCGTAAGAATTACCCAAGGTTTTCTGTGCAGATATGCCATAGACTGAATGAACTAAAGAGAGTAGAAAAATGGGAATCACTATTAAAACATTCAGATATAGTTCTGAAGCATCAGCCAGAGCTATTAAATAACAATGCTTGTGGTGTAAGTAGCTTGTAATGATTTGGCTTTCAAATAGATCAGTGTTCTAATACTTTAAGCTCCTAAAGTAAACAGAACACATAAAGCATTTTGGGGATGGTAGAAAGGAAGGGAAAATTCATTATAATAAATCCTTTTGCAAATAGGAAATGCAATTTCCTGTGTTGAACTTTAAATATTAAGGACCATGTAGATACGAAATAAACAGACAATGCAGATTTTTCTTTGCAACTATATATTGCTCTTATTGATAGAGTTCATATATTAGGTTACAAGGGAGGCTTGTAAACACTTCATTCTTGTTATGGTATTGAACACCTTTTAAAATTCACCTGCAAAATAAAAAAGTATTAGTGTCGTTCACATTTAGTTATGCCCTTCTGTGATTCCTCGAAGCATAGGCTATTAAAATACAAGTGTTCCCCTATAGTATGAATAGTCAATAAATATTTACCCCCCAAGAGCCTTTCTTCAGGGAAAAGTAATGTTAAAAAGTTCTTTACATTGCATTTTTTGAAGTCTTGATCCAAAACCCTTGTTTAATTTCATAGAACTCTTTAATGCATGGTAATTTCACCATGTAACCAATAGCCCAAAGGGACTAAAGAATAAACCCTCTTCAGTATTTAAACTACCTCTTCTAGTCTCATTCCCATCTCTGCTCTATCCTTTTTGCCTACCTCTAGTCTTGCAAACAAGGAGCTCTGGTAGTATAGTGGTTATGAGTTGGGCTGCTAACCTCAAGGTCAACATTTTGAAACTACCAGCTGTTCCATAGGAGAAAGATGGGACTTTCTGCTCCTGAAAAGATTTACAGCCTCAGAAACACTATACAGTCGGAACTCGAAATAAGTCGGAACCAACTCCACAGCACATAACCAACAAACCAACCAAAGTCTCGCAAACAGTGGCTCTGTAGGATAAACACTCAATTGTGAACCACAAGGCTGACAGTTCAAACCCACCAGTCAATCCTCAGAAACTCTAAACAGGGTCACTATGAGTCAGAAGAAATTTTTTGGAGTGCTGGTGTGGCACTACTGTAACTATGTAACTACAGGTTAACATGCTGGACTGCACGGTTTGTTTGAGTCATAAGGTCATTGGTTCAAGCTTACCAGCTGCTCCTCAGAAACCCTATACAGGATCATTATGGGTCAGAACTGACTCGATGGCACTTAACAACAACAATAACAACAATATTAGATTATAAATGTAATTAACTCACTCATTTGAGTCACCTGGGGCTACTTTGTTGGTTTTGTTTCACATTTACCATTAGTAAAATATCATCCCACAATACGAATGCAATCAAAGTGTGAGTCTCCAGACTTTAGCATAATTAAGAGTCCCTGCTTTTCCTCCCTGTAACTTAGAGACTGTGTTTCTGCCAACAGAGTATCTCATCTGTGCAATAATTCTAATGGCTTTGATCTATAAATCCATTGGCTTGAGAGAATTAAATAAAAATGGAATTCCAAATCCTTAAGTAGATGAGTGCAGCCATTCTTTTAATTTGCTTTATCTTTATAGATAAAACAGTTAAATAGATATGTTCAAAGCACAAAGAAATTTAAAATTTGAAAACAGATCTTGGAATCATTCCCAACACAGCAGTTCACTAATCTTTACAAAGATATAAACGCATTGTTTCAAGTCGATTCTGATTCATGGGAACCCGATAGGACAGAGTAGAACTGCCTCATCGGGTTTCCAAAGCTGTAAATCTTTACACAAGTAGACTGCTCTGCTCTTCTTCCTCCTGGGCTTTTGGTTAAAAGTCAAGCACTTAACCACTGTGCCACCAGGCTTCTTTATAAAGATAGCCAAATCCATTGCTATCAAGTCGATTCTGATTCACAGTGACCCTATATAGAGTTTCTGAGACTATAAATCATTATGGGAGCAGACAGCCTCATCTTTCTATGACTGTGGGTTTGAACTGCTGACTTTGTGGTTAGTATAACAATGCCTAATTCACACCATCACCAGGGCTCCTTTGATAAAGACTTAGAGCATCATAACGTATATAAAGTGTACCTAGCTCCTCGTTTATGAAATGCTAATCATGTGTTGTTGTTGAGTGCTGCTGAGTCAGTTCTGACTTATAGTGACCCTGTATAGGATTTCTGAGGAAGCGTTGGTGGGTTTGAACTTCTGACTTTGCGGTTAGCAGCCCAGTGCACCACACACCAGGACTCCATGTCAATGCTCAATCAACATTCAATAAAGTAATTAATGGGATGAAATTAACGAATAATATAATATACAGCTACATATTTATTTTACATTTAAAAACAAAAATCACCAGCAAGTAGATTCCAACTCATGGTGAGCCCGTATGTTATAGAATAGAGCTGCTCCACAGAAAATTCAAGACTGTGATCTTTCAGATGTAGCTCATTAGGTCTTTCTTTTGAAGTGCCTCTGGATGAGTTCATACCAATGGTTTTTTCATTAATAATGGAAGGAAGGCTTGACCATTTGTGCCACCCAAGGACTCCCATTATCTTAAAAATAAGTAATGGAAAATATACAATTCAAGAAAATAAATACATAAGTATGTAAGGAGAGTCTACTGGTAGTCTAAGGAAAGCATTAACATATAATTACTACACAAGGAAGTTGGTGGGAACATCAGCTCCATAGCCAAGGAGAAAAGAGACATAAACAGATCCCCAGATATCCAGGACACAGTGCTCTGAGTAGGTTTCCAGAGCCAGTAACACTTTGCTTGTTAAACTGCCAAGCAGAAACCATCTGGTCACTAGAACATCTCTGTTTAATTGGAACTGCATAGCGATCTCATCAAATTGCCATGGAACCAGTGGTTTCTTCCTTTTCTAGAGCAGGGATGAGGAAAATTTCTTTCTAAAGAAGGGACGAATGCCATTAATCCATCACATCCCCCCAAATAAACTTCAGTCCTTTCTTTATGCTTTTGTTTTTGTCTTGTTTAGGAGCAGGCAAGGGATACGAAGGAGCTTCCAAAAAGTTCCTGGAAAAATGGAAGTAAAGATAATGGAATTTTCCCATGAATTTGTACAGAATTGTTAAATTACTTCTTAATGTTTAATTCAGAGCAACTTTATTATTTAATAACTATGTGGCACTGTAGGCTAAGTATTCAACCAGAGGTTGGTTTGAACCATAAGGTTGGTAGTTCAAACTCACCAGCCCCTCTTCGGGAACCTTATACATGATTGCTGTGAGTTGGAACCGACTTGACAGCATTTACCAACAACATTGCTTTAAATATTTTATGTCACATTCTTGAAATTGGGACAGAATTAAAAGAGAGAGAGAGGGAGGGAGGAAAAAAGAAGGAAAGAATGAGGAAGAAGAAATGGAAAGACAGATTAAATTTCTACAGCAAAAGCTGTGGATGTTAATTGCCACTGAGTTGGTTCCAACTCATTGTAACCCTGTGCACAACAGAAAGAAACACTGCTTAGCCTTGTAGCACCCTCACAATTGTTATGTTTGAGCCCATTGTTGCTGCTATTGTGTCAGCCCATCTCATTGGAGGTCTTAAATGTGTATGTAAAAATAAAAAATAAAAAGACCCAGAGAAGGAGCTATTAAGGAAGAGAGAGAGAGAATCACAAGGAGATGAGAGAACACAAACATATGAAATGAGAAAGGAGGCAGGAGAGGCATTGACACAGAGAAGCTGTGTAGAATCTAAAAATGAACAGACTACTCAAGTCCCTTCTATTAACCTATCAGTTTGTCACACTATGATGGCTTGCCTGATGCTGGAAGCTATGCCGCTGATATTTCAAGTACTTGACAGATCATCCATGGTGGACTGGTTTCAGCAGAACTTCCAGACTATGACAGACCAGGAAGAAAGACCTGGTGATCTGCTTTTGAAAATCAGTGAAAATCCTCTGGATCACAACAGAATATTGCTATAAGATGAGCCCTCTAGGATGGAAGGC